TCTGGTACCCCAAGGATCGCTGGAGTATTAAATCCACGGTAGCGCATCGTGATTTCTCCTAACTGGAATGCTCTGAACCGTCTTCAGGTGATCATCATACTGTTTGTGGCATCCACTCCGTTGTTCTTGCGCCAGACCGAATATCGCTTCTTAGTGTCGTCGAGTCCATTCAGATGGCCGCTGCCTTCAGCAACGCATCCGTCTGGTTCATCGACGGGTTTGGGGAGTTCGAGAACCTGAACATCGTTCATCCGTGCGTCACCAGCGCTGCTTTATTTCCCCACTCACATTTTCTACCTAGGCAGGATATGGTGCAGCTGACTGCGCTGGTAATACTCAACATGGACCAGCGATTCCACTTCACTAATTGCCTTTCCACCCTAGTATCTGTCGACGTTTGTGGCCCAGGTGTGAGTTGCGTGGATATCCACGATGCCAACTCTGATCGCTTCTAGACATTTTGCGAGAACCATTTATCAATGTGAGTCTGTCCTCCAGTGCGGTGTTAAATAGGACTCACGGGTAATTCCAGGGCACAGGGAAAGTATAATACTACCTGTACTCGTTTTCGTGACATCCCTCGTTGGGTTGGGAGGAGGAATGGGTGCGTGCTTATTGATCTCTGAGTCACGCGTGTAACCTAACGTGTTTTGTCTACAGCTCAGGTCGGACTCACGTTCGTTTTTCTTCGTCTCGATGATTTGGCGTTCAATCTACTCTAAAGTATTCAAGCAAAGGAGTACAGCAAACTCGGGCAAATGAGTGTACGGTTTATTTCTGCTTCTTACGTTCATGTCCACTAATAGGACGCTCCACAGCCTGCCACCAGCTACCTGCAAGCCAGTTTTTCACTGGCCGCCGACATTGTAATCACATTCGGACTGTGCTGGCGGTTGAACAAAAGCCGGACCGGAATTCAGTCGTGCGTCGTATTCTCTTCACGCCTCGAGCCGGGAGATCACATCGATGAGCAGTACCAACCATGTGCTAAATTTCCTAATAATGACGGCGATAAACCGTGGCGCGTTTACGATGTTATTTGCCGCGTTGAACGTGATTCTGGTGCGTCCTCCTCGCAGGGAGTTATCAATGTCTCAGGTTATTATCCCAGTTCATCAGCAAACCAAGAACCTTCTATTTCATGCTCGCGCTTATGATCAGTGACAAACGTGCGCCGTCCCAAGTTTCTATTTCGTTCTCGGTTTGGCTGACCAGTGCTGGTACAGTTTATCTCAACAGCATGCTCGCAATGTACGTTGAAGCTCACTGCTCCGCTTACATTCTCACCGGTCCCCGTTTTCAGGCTTAATACGCGCCAGCATGCTGTCAGAAGAAGTGGGACCAGGGTCTCGGAGCAGCAAGTTTCCATGCGCACATTTTCCTCCAATGCCAAAAATGTCCCGACTGGCGTTGTTTTGCATACTACGACCGAGATATTTCCAGATAATATGTAAGTCCCACTGTTTTCACCGGGATGAATCGCCATAACATTTTATATTAGGTCCCTTCCGGATGATACGGACACGAAGCACGTTGTGTAACGTGGACAGTTCCCTTATATTTAAATTAAATATTGATTAATCGCCTCTTGTCTGGAACCCTGGATGACGGAGGGGTAACATAGTTGACCTAGTGAAGCGGTACTCAGCGTCGAAATCTCCAACCATTCGTGAATCGTTTTGTATACATTCACTGAATCGGTAATGGCGGGTGTTAAACGCAACCAAGGATACATGTTGCAATTTATCAAGACGTTATCGGATAGGTAGCGAATCCGTTTATCCGTCCTAAATCATCTCTTGAATTCACGGTTTACCGTAATGGTCACCGTATCATTCGGAATCCCAGTGCTCTTCATCGGTTCCGTCGGCGGGTTCGAGGCTGATCTATACCAAAACTGTGAGCGTATAACTAGCGCACATGGATAGCTGCGCACCGGTGAGCTGAGCACTGTTGAGTTGGACTTCCACACCGCGTCATACGCGGGAACTTAATCGGCGGATAGCGCAGGTGAGAACTAGAACCAGAACGGCGAAGGTACCTAGTCTCATCGTCCACACATTATGACCATTGACAGCACTTTCGATTGCCCAAATGGACACCAGGGGGGGATCCGGAGTGAGAGATGTGAGGACAATATTCGACCCAGGTGTGTCGGTCGACGAAGGAGGTTGGGCTACAGTGCGAAGTCCTGGTTCCACGTCCGGGTAGAAGGGCTCCAAGTAAGTGGAACTGGTCTGTCCCGACCTTCCGGACCCACCACTGTGGTTGGAATGTCAGACTTCCGGACTGACGGGGAATCGTAGAGACTAATCAACGGGCAGTGCCTAGAATGGATGCTCGGGTACTGCACGTGGAGGGCCCTTCCGGGCCAGGGAAGGGGTCGGCAACGTAACGAAGTCTGTCCCCCGCGGGCTGGCGGATGTGGTACAGGGCGGGCGGCTTCAGTAATCGAACTGGATCTTGGGAGTGAATTGCCTGAGCATTCTGATAGTCTCCTCACCGCGCTCAAGAAGCCTGGCGGTGCATGCGAAGCCATCCGCCGATGCACAGTAGCTTCAATGTCCAGAAGCCTTCTCTTTGAATTTGGGTTGAATTTGGGTGTTTCTGGACTGCGCTATGCAATACATAGGCAAACACCAGGTTAGATCGCGACGCCGACGGACCTGGGCTGCTGGATTGGTCCTTGTTTGAATTTAGCAGTGACAACGGAGAAAGGCGAGATTTTGATCCGACCGCTGCCGTCTGTGATTGCACGTGTTGCCTTGCCCATCTTGTCCTCATCATCTCCGACTTCCGAGTCTCTGCAGATCTGGCTGTTAGAAGGTGCAGATCACGCGGAAGATGAGCTGAGCAAGGATATATATCACAGAGACGGCACAGGGGGTACAGAGTGCGACGGGGGATGAAAAGCTAGCGTATGTATTGAGACGAGGCACTATATGAGGTGATCGGTAGTCCGCAGTAAATGCGACGGAAAGGGGAAGGAACCAAGACGACGCGTGACAGGCCATATTTCAACACTGGCATCGTCCCAAATCTATCTGGCAAGGCATGCGACAAAACCGGAACCCGAATGAATATCTTGCCTGACTCTCGGATCTTGCTCACCAGGCTTATGCCACAATTGTCGTCCGCATATTTGTCTATATTCATTGGCCTTCAAGCATTGAACGCAGCTGCGGCGGACACACAGCAATGAGTCGCGGTATCCGATCCACGAACGCCTTGGAGCCGAATCAACGATGTTTTCTGCGCCTTTAGGCTTCAATGTACCTCGGGCTCCCAAGAGTTCGATTTTCCAGTTTACTGCGTCGACCTTTTTCTTGGTGACAACCTTCGGTCAGCAGGCTGGATTACTGTCAATTGTGAGATCTGGTTGCAGCTCCGAAGTCTGCACAATAATCGCCTCTCGACCATGTACGTATCCCCCGTCTTTGAGTGCCACGATGACACGGCTGTCGCATCATTTGCGGGAGATCCAGATTCTCACTGACCGGGAATTGACAGAATCACTTCCTCCACATTAACACCAATACCAACGAGAATGTGGATCGCAGCCTATCGCAGTACCGCCTGTACCGCAGCAGACCGCATCCATCTCGCGTCGTCACTACCGCGACCGCATCATACATACCTTGCTTCTTCCAAGTGGGGTCATTCGATCAAGTAACTGTCCATCAATCATATTGAGCGCTATATATACCTGGGAAGATACTACAGTATTATGACTTTTCTCACCTCTTTTTCTTCTTTTCCCCCGGTCAACTCTTTCTTCTCGATTCACCGCCGGCGTTGTTGAGCAGGCCACTCACCCCGAGCGCACCCGGGATGCGCAGATGCATTCAATTGGCAGCCTGTTTGGCACTCGCGCTGCTTTCGACGTCCGTGGATGCCCTCGAATGTCCGCTGGTCGACAAAGATGGCACCGCGCTCAGCGACTCCGGCCTTGGAGCGGATCCTGCCACTGGTGCCATCGCTCTGCTGTGCACTTACCCTAGCGCAGGCGAATGTCCATATGCCGCCAATGTGCGTTACAATTACGCTACCAAAGAGTACGTTGACGAGTATATACATCACCAGGACCAGGGCCTCCTCATCAACGGCTCGCCCTCCCAGTGCCCCGATGCTCTCGCGGAATCCGCTTCGTGAGATTTCTCCTCACCAATTTGCCCGCGATATAGCACTGACGGTATACAGCACCTCATCCACGACTTCCACGACCACCAGTCGACCGGCCTCGACCCGAAACAGCACGCTCAGTCAGACTCCCACCCCGACAAGCCCCTCCATGGGTCCGCTCAGTAGCACAAATCGTTCACCTTCCAGCGGATCCGCAGCCAGCACGATCACTACCCCCACCTCAGCCGCCTCTCCAAGCTCAACCTCAGGCATAACACTCGATCAAAATATTAGTTCGCAAAGGTCTCCCTGCATTCCCCGAATGAACTGCCCCAAATCTGACACTGTCGTCAACAGGAAGGGCTTACCGCCAGCAGCGATCGCAGGGGTCGTTCTGGGTGTGAGCGCCCCTGTCGTTGTCTTGCTTCTCTTGCTATGGCTTCGACGACGACGCCAACAACGGATTGAGGCACAGACCCGACTGCGGATGACTCCTCCTCGTCCGAGGCAACCAGCGACGCAACGGAGAGCGTGGTACGCCCTGGGATTGTGCTGGAACATGGGGATATGGCAACCGAGACGATGGCTGAACGAATGCGCCGGGTTGAGGCGCAGTTGGATACGCTGTTGACGCTAGGAGTCCCCGACACCGCACCACCTGGGTATACAGCAGTGTGAATCCAGAGAGGTTATTTATCATACCCGCAAGACTGTTGTCTGTAAGCATCTCGATAAATTCGCTTCCGACATCATCGACAATTCACATGGTCGCGTTGGATGCTATCAAAGAAATCAATTGAATCGAGCAAAACCAAGTGCTTTGCGCGTCGAGAGGACTCTCCACCGAGTGAACAGACGATGGTCGGACCTGTTTTCAAGGTGAGATGGCCGAGCGGTCTAAGGCGCCAGCTTAAGGTGAACATCACTTCGCTGGTCCGAAAGGGCAGGGGTTCGAATCCCCTTCTCATCATTCCTCTTTTGATCTGAAGATGGCCTTCCCTGTATTCTTTTGTTTTCTTCTCTGGAAATGGAATTGAAAAACCTCAGCGTTAAGGCTCTGGTGTCATATGTGGAACCAAAAATTTGTAATTCAAAAATATTCAAAAAGTCGCCCACCGTATTATAGTTACCCCGCCAGGAACTCTCAGAAGTTCTGCTTTTGTCTGGTGGTTATTGTGTCTCTTTTTATTTATCTTGGTCATTGATATTTTATTGCCGCACGAGTTCGAACCGGGCCTCTGGTTTTTTTTCCTCCCGAATATCTCCGCCCTCCGCGGAACACTGTCAGTCACTGATATTCACAGCTGAGTTCCTCTTATTCCTGACCCATCTCTCAATTATTCTGCTCTGTGTACACAAAGAGCACAATGTCAAATTCATTTGAAACTGTGCATGCTGTGTTGAAGCCTTCTCAAACGAGTCTTCAGCCTTTGGAATGATGGAGCATAAAAATCTGAAGGAAATGAACCACAGGAGACTGAGTTCTAGTTGTGCTGGACGTGAGTCCGCTGAATGGACTACCTCATGTATTTCCGCCAACAATCAACCTAATTCAATGTTTCTCTTCATTTTACAGAACATTTTGCGCATTTTTTGTGCCTGCAGCGCGTGACCGACCACTCTGATGTCCTAGCGTCCCAGTCCAAATATCTATGCTCCAACAGTGGAAGGTATATTAAATTTTAGGGTGTTTATCTAAGCATTTCCCGTGGGGTTTAACGGAGGTATTCAGCGACAATTTCTGGCCTGCGGCGCAGGGGATTGCTCAGAGGCTCCAATAAATCTTAATTTTCGACCCACAAGTGCTCAAAACAAAGAAAATTACATGAAAGGGACAACGGGAACGAAAAATAGGGGCCTGAGAAAGAGCCAGGCCAAATGGGGCCTGGCCAGGCCCAATGCGGCCTGGATTTCCTAATCGGGCCTGGGTTTGGTTCCACACATGACACCAGAGCCGCGTTAAAGCCAACTACGCTCGAGGCCGAGCGACTGGATCCTGGAGCCTACCGTCGATGTCGTATCCAGGGTGAGATGGCCGAGCGGTCTAAGGCGCCAGCTTAAGGTGAATATTACTTCGCTGGTCCGAAAGGGCAGGGGTTCGAATCCCCTTCTCATCATTCTCCTTTTGATCCGGGAATGTCCATTCCTGTGTTTCTTTTGTTTTCCTATCGTCTTCTCTGGAAATGGAATTGCATCGAGGAAAAACCTCACCGCTGTAGCCGATTACCTTCGAGGCGGAGCAACCCAATAATACGGCCGGCCGTCGCCAAGCTCTGAAGGGTGAGATGGCCGAGCGGTCTAAGGCGCCAGCTTAAGGTGAATATCACTACGCTGGTCCGAAAGGGCAGGGGTTCGAATCCCCTTCTCATCACTACTCGTTTTTGTTCCGACGATATCCGTTGCTGACCCATGTTTTTTTCCCCTTCTATTCATATCTTGATTTGATCTTGATCCCAATCTTCGCACACCCAAATGGCTACCTAGCCATTCCGGTCTTGAATCCTGGTATATGCATCTCTGGCAGCCTTCTCACTACATGCTGTCTGGGCGAACACATGCAAGCTCTGCTGCGTTTAATGCCTTTAAATTTGTACGTAGCCTGTGATTGAAGATGATTGTCGTAACCAAGAGGCACTTCCACCGGAGGACAGAGCAAAAACCATTGCAGCTCTCCGCATGCCCGAAAGATCGATCCCTCATATAACAGAAAGCCTGGATCTGCTCCTCACGACATGCCGATAAATCTCAAGAAGCCGTAGTCGACCATCGGCCGCCATCATAATGTTATCGAAGTGGTGGGAACCCGTTGAGAAGGAACAGAGGGCTCGATCCCCCGGCGCTGCACGTCCAAACCCTAAAGCTTTTCATTTGTCTCTTCCACTCTCCCGACCGGTCCAGAAGCAGCAAATGGCGCACTCGCCCCGAATATTAATCCCAACGGATCCATGACTTGACGACCGCTTCATAAATCATAAAACCCATACCAGTCCGCGCCCTACTACTCGTACAATCTTCGTACTTCAATCCTCCCGATCCACGATCCCTCGGATTCGAGATCCTAAACATGCATCTTCTCCTTCAGCTTCGCGACGAAGCGCGAACGCCGTCCCTTGCCCTTCTCGTGGCCGCCCTCCCCCTCCCCCTCATCGTTATCGTTCTCGCTCCCATTCCCGTGCCCATTCCCGTGCACGGTTCCATCCGCCTTCCCGCTGCTCTCCGCGCCATCTCCCTCTATCGCGGCGCTTGCAGTAGCTGGCGCTACAGGCGCAGGGAGGTGCAGCCCATATGCGGTGAAGATCAGCCCGTCCTCCTTGCCATCCCCGCCGGACGCAGGCGCGGTCGTGGTTGAATTATCGGTGGACGCCGCCACAAGACTGTCCTCCCTCTCGAGCACGCCGAAATGCGCGTCGGAGAACACCGCACGCTGCGCCTCCGCAGCCATGTGCGCCGGCGCATTTCCCACCAACTCGTCGTCGAATCCTCCCTTCGCACCAACGAGCTCCCGGGGTGCGGCTCTCGCATTTGACGGAGATTTGGTCGTCGCAGCGGACTCGCCCAGGGCACCCGCGACTGGGAAGTACGCCACGTCGTGCGGCGCCAGGGGCGGAATCGGCGTGAACGGCGCGCCGCTTGCGGGAATCAGCGCGGCGAGATCAGAGTTCGCGAGCGACACTGTCGATGCGAGCGGGGCGTAGCCGGTCTCGTCCTGGGAATATGCGGACACGGTGGAGGCAGAAGAGAGCGAGGACACGCTGTAGAGCGAGGAGGAGGTCCCGATGGGGAGAGGCGGACGAGTGGGGATAGGGTCGGGGGAATAGGGGGGCGCGATCGCGGTTGTGGAGTCGGGATGCCCCGTGTGGACGGCGGTGCTGAGGTCCGTGCTTGCGCGCACGGGGATGGGGAGGAGGGGAACGGTGGGATCCATGTCGGCGAGGGGCTCTTCATGCATCCTGGGCGAGATGCGGCCTTGGCCGAGCGGTGCGGGGGCGGTAGCTTGCTTCGGCGCTGCTGCGGCCGCTGGGAAGCTTAATTTTTAACACGCAAGCACGCCAGCGAGAGGAGAGCAAGACGCACCGCCGAAATAGCCGGCGACCTGCGACGGGAGGTACGCCTTTGCCGCCTGCCCCACGTTCGTCAGCGCGCGCTGCACGTCCTCCTCCGCAGGCAGATACGCGTTCGCTGCGTGCAGAATTGAGGGCTCTCCAGTCACGGTGGGCGCGAGGACCGAGTCCTCGGGGAAGGCGCCGGGGATCGCGGGTCCGGGGGTCTGCACTGTCGTCCCATTCGCGTTGAAGAGCACATTGTTCGTCGTGGCTGCCCACTCGTCTGCGAGTGTAGATGGGAGAGCGGCGGAATCGATTGTGGGGACGAGGTTCGGCGTGGGCGGGTCCATTCTACAGAGCGAGGTGGAGACGAAGGAGAAGAGCCGATGTGGAGTTAGCCTTTTATAGGAGAGATCGAACCTGAAGGTTTCACGTGATCATTCCTGCGGTCCAAAAAACCTCATTATTCCAGGCGATTTATTTATTTATTCACCGGGGATTGTGTTGTAAATATCAGGTAGATAATGTGGCAAAGTACGCAGTGGGGTTTACATCGGCACGGGTTTGAGCACAAAGTTCAACACGGTTCGTTGAACCTTGCCTGTCTCGCTCCATCTTCTTCCGCTCTCAATGCTCTTCCGCTCTTCCCATTAATAATTGATCCCCAATCTTTTGGTCAAAATTTGTCCTTCTATCTCCGCCAAGGCTCATAAATCTGCAATAAATTTACAGTCAATCCACGCTTTGCGTTTCAAAATGTCTGGTGCCTGCATTCAGATTTAAATAAGTCCCGGTCATTATGCTAACTTGCTCGTATAGAAATGAACTCGGAGGGTATAGAATCAACCATCATATATCAATGGGTGACTCCCCGTAAGGTTAATCCATTCCAATGCATTTTCAGAGCCCATTTGAAGGCGCCAGCGATGAGATCAATGCAGAGGATATTCAAGCCGTTCAGGTTTCCCGCAAAGAAAATTATAATTTTGTACAGGGATACAAAAAAATGGGCTCCCATGCTGCTCCCTCTAATACATGGTTTCAACACAAGCCTTGCTGTCATAAGTACTTCTCGTCCAAAAGTCATGTCATACTGAACTCAGAAATGGCCATCGTCGCCAAGAGTAGAAGGGCTTTTGTTCCTGTAAAAATAGTTGCCGCCACTTGGGGAAGGGCTTTCGGTAAGTACAGGCCAGAAACTGTCGCAACAGGGCCTGTGCGACGCGTTGAAAGCAAGTTGAAAGAGAGTGCCGAAGATTTGATCCGAACAATCGATCAATATTGTCCCAAAAGGTTTATTGGGCGAGCTAAATTCTGGACGGGGGTAGCTACCCCCCTTCCAGACTCAAAATCTATTCGAGTGAAGCAGAATAAAAGGCGTGCATTTTGAGGTCATTCAATTGATGGGGTCCTGGCAGGTGCCTCGGCAAGACGACGCAATATTCCTGCGGAATAGATTACTAACCTTACGGGAGGTCACCCAATGGCAGATTTCCGTCTGCTGATTGCAGTAAGGTTTACATTAGTGGAAAGATGCGTGGGAAGCGGAGGTTCGATTCCTCCCGATGGCATGGCACTGGGGTTATCAGTTCTTTTTGTTCGTGCGACCCATACCCCGTAGACGGTAGGCAGTATTTGCTCGCTGAAACGCCTGCAGATAAGCCCCTATATACCGTTCGAACTTTTGCAACAACAGTAGATGCATCATTCAGCCCATAATTCTCTCCTGATCCCTCGAACACTTGCCCATGGGTCGGGGTGCGAAAAACCTCTTGATCTTCCCATCGACAGCAGCCTGCAAATTGTTTCTGTACACTCGGGCTCCGAGCCTCCTTCTCGCCGGCTTCTCGCCGGCTTCAAGTTCCCTGAGCCAATTATATCAGGCATGGATCTCGCTTGGATCTTGCAGCTGACCTCGGCCACTGCT